CCAATGTACACCCAGATTAAGATCGTGTGATTGTGAAACAGGACATGTTCGATGATTGGAAACGAGGCATGAAGGCTGGTTCAAGTAAGGGAGATAGGAACTTCCAGGTCGACTTTACAATTGGCATTGTAAAGATATAAAGCTAGTCTTGTTTTCACCCAAAGATCATAATCACGTCAGTTCGTTTTCTCATGGTATCGTCGCAAAAGTTAAAGAAATTTCTCGTGGGAGCTTTCTGTTCATTCTTCATTCCCTTTTTTTTAAGTACCAGCGAGCTTTGACCTCCCACATTCGACCCACTCTTCCTGGATTTCGCGTTCAGGCATGTCGCACATTGTCCTTTTTAAGCTCGAGAATACTATAAATCACTTTTGGAGCAGGCGTCGAAGTTGGCGCGAGTGTTTTAAGGTAGCGCGTAGGATCAACAAAATAAGCCCAAAACTCTCTTTATCAGAATTCCCACACGCAAACCGCCAGGCCTCCGTGTTTCTTTATCTCGCCAAATTACGGTCAAACCGCAAGCAGTCTTTTTTTTTCTCTTGAGGGAGAGCGAGATTTATCTTTGCGATATGAAGCGATGACTTTGGACAAGAAGGGATTGGGGTAGATGCGATTGTACAGGGCGTGTCTCGGCCTCGTCAGAAAAGCTAATCCTTCCTGGCCTCACTACACCGTGCGTCTTCTTTTCATTCACACTCGTAAGACCACAAGGAACCAAAACAAAAGATTAGTTATGGCACTCTAAAATACGGTTCCTGTTCTCAAGAAATGGATAAATAATTGGAAACATGCCTTCCAAGATCGTCAGAAAAGTTGATCCCTTCACTCATCTTTCCTCCGACCACACAGAACAACACCGCGCCATTTGGAGATGTGTTGTTGGCGACTACGGCTGGCTTCTATGAATGAAAAAGATAAAGATGATTTTAGTATTCCTCCAGGTTTTCATTACGCCTAGATACAAAGAACGGGGCTTTTTAGTTTCCATCGTAAAATTCTATGGAATCAGAAGAAATCTAGGGAAATCTTCGGGGGCATTTTTCAGGAAAAAAATAGTCCTGTTTTCCATATCGTCTCGAGAAGAATTAGGTCTAAAAGCATTAAAGACCTCTCAACGACTTGCATTGCTCACAGCATCATACTTTTCTTCTAGTGAATACTCATGTCCAAGTGCTTATAATGAGGACCCTGCCACTCGCTTGAGTTTACCCAGAGGTGAGGAATTTTTTCGAGCGCATGATTTGTCCGATTGTATCCGACGACAGGGAGAATATTTTGTTTCCGGAGGGGAGGGGGGGGGGGGGGGGCAACACTTACTGATATTATAAAATATTCCTAGAAAAAAAAGGAGTTTATTCGTCTTGATTCTACTTGTTACTTCAAGTGCTAACCTTGATACAAGCTGCGTACGACGAAAGAACCTGATCAAGCTGACTAGACTTGCGTGGTTCTCTAAAGACCTGAGATATATGAAGAAATCCTTTTAAATGTTTGGGTATAAAAAAGAAGAAGAAATAAAAAAAGAACGAAAGTAAGAAATAAAAAATAACAAAAATATGATAGGAAATCCTTAAACCACCTTCTTTCGGGTGTTCATTTTCTCAAGAATGCCAGATTCCTGCCAGTATTTGCAGAC